GCATGTTCAGGGGAACTTAAACAGGGTCAGCGATTGAGAGAAATTATGTTCAGCAGCATTGATAGCTATAATATTCATGAATCACTTTTGCAAATTGCACCATGTTGGGATTCTAACCCTGGTCTTTGGTGTGGAGAGCAAATGTTTCAACCATAGCGCTACTTTATCTCCCAGAGATAAATAATTCAGTATCTGTGATCTATTATTACAATACATTGACTTGATAATTATAACATAAACAAAACATATTTACTGATAATGATATCACTTTGTATCAAGATAATCTATCATTTAAAGTTTAAAATCTACATCTAAAAAGACTAACCCAAAACCAAAGTGTCATTTTTACATCCCATTTCTTTGACATGATTGTTTATTACAAATATGTCAAAATTGTAAGCAAGCCACTTCAAAGTTCTAAACAATATCTCCTTGAAAACAAAAAAATATTAATCAGCATGCTTTCTTTAAATAAATCCCTTCAAAGCACAGTGACAAATTTCCGGGTTCTTACTATGAGACATTTTTCCCCCCATCTTAGATGCTCAGTAACAAAACCATGTCGATTGCATTAACCACCCTACCTGCCGGAGAAGACAGCCGCCACTCAACAACAAAGTCGTCGATTACCAGATTGTATAAGGGTCATGTCTCAAGTTTTCCCAACACATACACCATGTCATCTTGGTATTTCCACCCATGATAATCTTTCACATTTTATCACAGAGCCATGAGAAAAGTAAATACATGAAAAATATATAGATTATTATTAAAGTTCCTTTTTAGTTATACACTTCTGGATGAAACTAAAGGTGGGGATTGTATCATAAATAAGTGTGATAAGAGCTAAATATGTTGTTAAAGGAATTTTATTATGCTCATCTCATTTTTACACTAATATTTTCTTTTAAAAGTTTCAGTAGTTAATAAATTGGATTAAATGATTTCATATTTTGACACTGATTGAAAATTATAATACAATTATAGTCAATTTAATGATTTTGAATTGAAGCAAACATGTCATCCTAAATCCTCTTCCTAGCTTCTCACTTGTCTCTGTGACACACACGAACACAATGATATCCTTCTATAGTGTACAGCCAACAATCTGTCACTGCTTTGGGCATTATTGCTATAAAAGGATTACCATCCATCAGTGTTATCAGAAGTTGTGGAGGTGTGGTGATATGAAGGTAAAATGAGGCAAGATGACAAGATTATCTGCCTCTTGATTAGATGAAGCATTGGACAACAGAGTAAATACCTTGTGCATTATCAAGTCCATTTCTCAAACAAACAGCTGGCGGGATGATGTGTTTGCAAAAGATTTGTCAATTTCAATATTTATCAAACACTTTAATTTTATATATGGTAGTGCAGTTGATTAAGATTCTGCCAATCAAAATATAACATAGGTCAATTACAAACTTACATCTATCCAATATCCAATAATTGACTGATGGGTTGGTTTATTTGCCTTAGAAGCCAAATAATCAAAAAGTGGACGTTTAGGAATTTGAGAGCAAGGTTAGGTTTTACACTGCTTTCATCAATATTCCAGGAAAATTAAAAAAAAAAGAATAGCAAGAATGTGCTTTATTCATTGCAGCTATGTGTAGAGCCTAATCTTCAGACAACCATGGATTACAGAAGACCTATATTAGTTTGTTTGTTTGTTTGTTTAATGCCGCACTCAGCAATATTCCAGCTATATGACAGTGGTCTGTACATAATCGAGTCTGGACCAGACAATCCAGAGATTAATATCATGAGCATCGATCCACACAATTGGGACAGATGACATGCATCAACCAAGTCAGCGAGTCTGACCACCTGATCCCTGTTAGTCGCCCCTTTCGACAAGCATAGTCGCCTTTTAGGGCATGAAGACCTATATTACCCGGATCTTCACAGGGCTACTGCTTTGTAATGGAGCATCAGTTACTAAGCATTGGCTTAGAAAACAACAACAACCGACTGATAAAATATACATGGTTTTGTTGTCAGTTCACTATAGACTTAAGTACACATAGCTCTTCATAATCACCATTCGTTATTTATTTATTACACAAGTTTTGTTTCTCATTCTTCATTATTATCAACCTCAACTGCTCTCATTGATTATGTCTATGAGTATTTTAAATGATGTAGTACCATATAAACAAGACAATCATCACTGCAAGAACAAGACCTGTTTGTGAAAACAGGAGCTGCACTTTTACAGCTGTTTCCTCAAAGCTCTCAAAATATTATCATGCCATGTACTTTCAATGTGAAAACAATATTGACCTTGACCTTAATCAAGACAACTTTTTAACATTATCCAAGTCTCAGGATTGTAGAAGTAGACATCCAACGTAAGTGACAATGTTTCATAATAACCTCAAAAAAGACCTTGACCTATGATAGACATGTCACATTTCATGTGTATTTGTAAAGAAACATGAAAAAACAAAGTTTCATGGCTAAAGAGGTAACCATGTCTCAAAAACAGACAATGGTATAACCATGGTTTGTGTTGATCTTGATCTTTGACTTTTCTTACCAAAACCTTTCCAGAGCAGGGCCCCATCCTAACGAAGACATATACTTAGTTTAATGCATTTAATGCTTTTTTGGGAAACTGGAAGCGTAAGCTTATTCGTGAGATTTCTGACCTTCTGACCTTGACCTTTGATCTTCTCATAGGAAGATATCATCTAATGTCAATAATCTTTGCACCATATTCAAATGAAAGTCAGATACATCTACACTGCGCAATTACCTTAGGTGACCTTGACCTTTGCCATAAATTCAACTGACATATGGTGTTTGGAATTGTCAAGAAGATGTGAGCATAAAGTACCATGCAGTAGAAGTAAGCATGCCTCATAAAGTGACCCCAATGGTATAACTATATTTTGTTTTACAAAAACTTGAATGCTGACCTTGACCTTTGGCTGATCTTAAACCTTTACAAAAATGAGCCCCAACCTAGAGAACCCCAACCTATCTTGTATAATGACAAATCAGTACTTTTTGAGAAAGTTTAATGATAAACATTTTTGTTATTTTCTATCTCATGACCTTGACCTTTGACTTGACGTGGCATGCGCCAAAAGAATTCACTGGGACCACTTGTAGAAGTACATGGCAGAATAACATCTAATGTCGATAATCTTTCTGAATTAAAATCCCAGGTGGCAGCAGAGGTCAAATAACAACAGAATCTTAAGTCTCCAGTCCCGCTTCAAAAGGCTGCTAATGATGATTTTTATCACTATTTTGCCGTTTCTACCAATGGAATCTGTATCGGCAGACAATCAAGACTAATTATTCTCTGGTTGTCTTTTTGAACATAGAAAACATCCTTTAACCATTCACAAGGATTAATGATTTCTTGGAAATAATAAAAGGTATGGTTTGTTCATTTTACATTTTCAAATACCACTTGAGATTCCCAGTAAGAATAGGTCCCCAGCATCCCTTGCTTGTCATAAGAGGCAATTTAATGGATCAGTTGATCTGTTCAGTGATTGCGTCATACAGCTGGAATACTGCTGAGTGCGGAGATGACACCATTGTTGTAAATGACAGATATGACAGTGTTGATACATACTACATAACACTGATACTGACGACCATCCAGATGAACTATAACAGGATGCTGTCATCTGTCACAGATAACGCCTCCCTAGTCTTAGGCAACTTGACTCAGTGGGATGAGGACACATTTCAATGAGGTTTTAGTGCTTCAGGTTCAGATAGATTTTTTGGTTAATCCTGGACGGTGTCTGATTAAGTGATAATAATAATAAAACATTTGCACATTGGAAACGTATACTGATATTGCAGTTTGAAACTGGGTTAAATGAGTAAGTACAATAAAAGCAACATTGTTGAATAGATTCGGGGGCTTTTGACTTTTCAAAATGAACATTGATGTGAGTTAAGGTATTACCTGTCCTGGTATCCATAACAGAAAACAAGCATCGCTTTGTGGCGCAAGGCCCTCATCAGCCTTAGTACAGCTACATCTCGGAAGAGTGTATGTAATCAGGTCAAAACCATGCAGAAAACCAGTGGTCAATAGTATGATGACCATCCAACTTTATTTTTTTCTTAGGTAAGTATGAGGATCTGCAGATCCCCTTAGTGATTCATGTTTAAGTATCCGATGACTGTTACAACATTTTCAGAGTAAGGGCCTCTCCTCCATCATCACCTGCCCTGAACATTTTAAACACATATCCCATATATCAGAATACACAGTCAGACATACCATGACAAGGAGCTCATCAGGAACTAGCATACTAATGATCAAGATTGCTCTATATGTACAAATCATATGCTGTACAAAGGTTTGTTTTGTTTCCAAAATGAGTGAGTGAGTGAGTGAATGAGTGAGTGAGTGTGGTTTTACGCTGCTTTTTTGCAATATTTCAGCAATATAACGGAGGGAAAATGGGCTTTACACATTGTACCCATATCGGGATTCGAACCAGGGCCATTGGTGTGATGAGGGAACGCTTTAACCACTAGGCTACCTCACCGCCCTGCTTCTACAAAGAGCCCTGAATATGGTTATGTGAATTTTAAAATGTTTATCATATTTAATATTTTACATAATGCTAGGTATCAATATCTTTCTTTAAACAGCTGGTTCTTTGTGCACCTGTCATATCAAATCATAGCTTACAAAATGTATCCACATCTAGTTACAATAATTTATTTGGAAAACCTTACCTTAGACTAAACACACCAAAAACATGGATACATGATGCTGTTTTGAGAAAATATATAACTAAATAAGTTTTCAACAAAATGGGTATGTCCACAGCTTGACCTCCTCTTCAGCAAAGTCAGCCCCAAACATGGACACATCACATTTATTAATAAAAACACACCTTCAAAAACATTTGAGCATTATTCAATCGTCACAGACAACACAGCCTCTTATTTGGTACAAACAGGCCCAAACATGGATTCATTAAGGGTGAGTGAAGTTAGCGAGTTCTTACCTTGAGTGTTTCATACAGCCGGATGATGTTGGGATGTCTCAATTGCCCTAGTATCCGGGCCTCCCTGTGCATGTTCTGCCGCAAGTACTCCTCCTTAATCCTACGAGTTTCGATTAATTTGATAGCAACCTGAAAGGATCACAAACATGAATTAATGACTGAGTATTGTTTTACGTCACCATTAGCAATATTCCAGCAATATCACGGTGGGTGACACTATAAATGGGCTTCACTCATTGTACCCATGTGGGAATTGAACCCGGGCCTTGGGCATGACGAGCGAACGCATTAACCACCAGGTAGCCCACCTCCTTAATTAGATACAGTGAGTAAACAGTAAACATTTTATGAAGAAAGACCTAAGTGACTCAAGTTACAGATTCTTTGAGTTATTTCATAGTTTGATGTACAACAGCAAAGTGCTGACAGATGAAGGATGATAGGTAGGGTGAATCTGGGATTCAAACCCCTGACCAGCAACTCTGCACAGAGAACTGCTGCACCTTTGACTGCTTGGCCACCTGGGCCTTACATTACACAATTCATGAGCCGACACTAGAAGTTTTTCTGTCAACAACAGACATGCCACATTGTGTCTCATCTTCCCGGACCAAGAGAGTTAACTGACTATAAAAGTCCAGTTTCCACCCTTGCCGAACTAGGCTGGTATCATGGAGTTACATTTTGGATGGACTAACGAGTCTGTGCATAGTCCAATCAAATTCGCGCACCGAAATCGAAATCCGGTTCGTAAACTGTCGATTGCAGGATTTGCACAGCATGTGCACCGCCAACTCGATGTCAACAGATATTTTCCAAATCTTTTCATGTTTTTAATCAAGGTGCACACGTGATTTGATGCATTTCGCGATGTAAGACCCATTTTATCACAATATAGATCTTGATTATCGATCAGATCGTTTTGACTGGGCGCCACCATTTTGTGTGAAGCAAACGCAAGTGATACGAGAGATGGAATCTGATTGGTCCATAGAAGAGGCTTAGAAGGGACATAACTGGTTATAGCCACTGGTAGCGCTATGATCGAGCCCAGTAATTCCAACCTACTTCGGCAAGGGTGGAAACTGGACTTTTATAGTCAGTTAACTCTCTTGCCTTGGGAAGATGCATTGTGTCTATGTATGTGAATTGATTCACACGAATACTATCAATATTGTAGGGACATCTTCATGACAAGGGACATCTGATGTAAGAATCACCTATTGTAGCAATCCTGGCAAAAGAACATCAGCCTAATCCATGATGAGAAGATGCATTTACCACTGTACCACCCTACACCCTACACTTCTAGAATTGGTTAAACACATGTTTATGAAAGAGTCAGAATCCTTCAATGGACTTTTAAGATGACTGACAGGTTTTCTGTGGTGCTTTTATTTTAAGGAATGCATTGAAATCAATAATGCATTGCTGAATTTAAAAAGCATATTAGATATTCATGTCTTGGATGTGGTGCACTGCAGGGGGAGGGCCTATGTCATGTCTTTTTCTTACATCACTGCTATATATTATTATTCTGTTGACAGAGGAATAACCTAAATCCTCCTGCCTTGGTAGGTATGCTTGACATTGTTCCTTCCTACAAAGAACCATAATCTACTAAAACTAACATGAAAGACATGAAGTACGGGCATTCTTATCACTTAAAGGATAAAACAAGTGGGGGCAAAAAGCAAACGACAATGGCAATTCCTCGGCTGTGTCGTGAACAAAATCATATTTGGAGCAACTGTGTAAATTATTGATGATCTTGCATCTCCAGTGAGTTGTGAATGTGAAGTCAGTCACGCGTGGACAGTTGCCGCGAAACTGGAACAGACTGGTTGAAGTTGTTTGGAGATGATGCCATTTCCGACATCTTAGGTTCTCGAAGACACGAACTGTCAGCTTGACATAACACGAGAGATGATACCTCCTAGAAGATCGGGCAGGGCAATTGGCCCAGAACAATGTGCATCTTCCGCACTTGGTGACTTGTCAGCCATATTGATGCCTGGACAATGAAACATGCTCTATGAACTGTTGTTATTTAATGGATACGGTGAAACTGGAATAGGGTGTAGAACTTGTTTCTATCCTGTTGTAAATATATTAAGGTTCAGATTGAAATGAAAGGATTAGGATACACATATTCAATACACACACACACACACACACACGCACTCATGCACACGAACACAGTGAGAATAATCAGTCTCAATTATGTGCCAAAACAGATTCCATGAGTGTAAAAGGCAAAATAATGACTACATGATATGAATTGATCACTGTAAATCAGTAATACAGACACCAGGTGTCAAGAAATTGTTCAAATAAGCTCAAGCTATTTTCCTAATTACAAAATACAGCTTCACTGTCTATTATTTCAATGTATGTTGATTCTTCTGATGCTTTACATCATTGTCAGTTTGTTGCTGATACTGCAGCAGGTATATCAAGAGAGGGAAAATAAACCAGAAAATGACCCACTCCAACACAGATGTCATAAGTCTCCTTTGTGATGTCAATTCAATACAATGTCTATTGCTTCAGCTGAACTTGCTTCATGGCATGTTAAGGCATGTTACAGCACACACGGTGTTTCCAAACGTTGTCCATATCTTGTCAGTAACATGTCGTTAGCACCATTTAGTCTGCTCATGGTGTGACGGACATTGATCTGATGGCACCTGGGACGTGTTCATTGCAGAGTGCCGACATGCCATATGTCCACAACCCTCATGAAATGTACAATGTATCACGGGTTTAAGTCTTTGATATTAAAGATAATTTTTGACATTTTCCTTAAAAACTGGTGACTACTCATCATGATAACAATATAAAAAACAAAAGATTTTCAATAAGAAACCTGGAGTTGAAAATATACATTTAAAAAAACAGATGACTAATGATAATGTTTATGAAACCAAGTCAAAAAACGGAAATATATCCCTGAGTCAGCATGTTTCAACAATGTCATATGTCCCACATGTGATGCTTACAAACATACTCTGGCCTGACTAAATTTAATTTGCATGATATACTCCACTGCATAATTAGGTTACCATTATTGATTACCGGTAGGCTCTATACAATTGTCCTAATTTGATATTTTGTAAAACTGCATATGCTTTGTATTGCTATGAACATGACAACCACAATGTACTCAATTCCATGATGACTCCAAAATAAGTCTCTTGTGTTCTTAGAAATAATTTATAGGCCTTCGAAATGTCCCTGAAATAAATTTGATAACCATGCACATTGTAAACAGATTGTTCTAAATTATTGTTACGACTTTATAATGTGATTATGATTGCATTGTTTGGGCTGGAATTCAGACATGTACATGAAATTCCATCTGTAATGGGTCATAAGTCATAATTACTGCTAATTAATTCTCTATGGATACTGAATTTAGCATGATTTTAATGTGGAATGGACAAGTGGGTTGAACAAGTGTACATAATTCTGGATGGTAAAAAATAAATTGCATTTCCAAACTTATGTAACCCCCGTCTGATAATTTTGAAGAAGAATCTGTTATCTCATGAGAAGGCAATAGTCTTTAATGCAAGCACTTGATGAACGGAATGTTAAAGTTGACATCAGGAAACACCTGAAGAAATCTAATCTTGTCTTCAGAATACAAAACACATCTATCTGACAAATGTTCTTGTGAATAAAAATAAATAAAACAATATCACATAGTCCTAAGACATGTTAGTCTGGTTGCCATGACAACCACACCAGCTGTTTCCTAGATGCATCTGACCTAGTGGTGACATACGAAACAAGCGCCCACATTAATACAAGGTCCAGGATTGGTATTCAGGGACAACTCATGACCTTTATGTTGATGAACACCAGGATTTGGCCATTATGAAACTTGAAGACATAACTGTCCAGTCCTTTGGGAAGGTTCCAAGAAATGGTCAGTGATGTGCCGGAGGGAGGATATTCCCAGGACTACAGTACCGATGGGTTCTTGCAAACAGAGACAAATCACCAATGGAAAACATGTTTGACTGTCATTTTAGACAGGGATGTAGGGGATGTCAGGGTGTGGTGTGAATTACATTTGCCAATGACAACATTGTCACTAAAATCAGCTGACAGTAGATTCTTATATAGCAGACCCCTGAAGATCCACGGTAGAATAGATCTTTAGGAAACCATGCTTGCCCTAAAAGGAGAATTTGCTTGTTGCAAGTGGCGACTAATGGGATCAGGTGGTCAGGCTCGCTGACTTGGTTGATGCATGTCATCGTATACCAATTGCTTGGATCGATGCACATGATGTCAATCACTGGATTGTCTGGTCCAGACTGGATTATTTACAGACTGCCGTCATATAGCTGGAATATTGCTGGGTGCGGCGTTAAACACAAACAAAAAAATTTATATAGCACATGTCAGTATCTGCAATATTGTCATAGAGTAGATCAGTTTGCACACATAGAACATTCATCAAGGGAAAAAGAACATATTCGGGAATGCTCACAAATAATTGGGGAATGGTTGGTTCAGGAAATATGCATACAGTAGATGTTCATAAGGAGAATACAGTGGACAATTAACACTCTGTTTCTACAAGGATCAACACACGTGAAGGTGATGGAGGTTTTTCTTGACAAAGATCAGTAAAATTGAATGCATGGTTGAATTATTGGTTAAGAAATAGACTAGAAATGAATACACTAGAAGTTCATCATATTAAAATCGCAGTCAGCAAGACAAGGATCAGAAAATATGAACGCACTGGAGATGACAAAGGATAAGTCTTCACAAAGATCAGCCTACATGAAGACATCAAAAGAAAACCATGACAGTCACAAAGGATCAGTCTATCCAAGGATCAGCAAACATAAAGGTACAAACGTTCATGAGAACGAACCAACAGATAGTGACAAAGGGCATTTCTCTACAAAGATCTGCCAATTTGAAGACATGAAGACATTAGAAGAAAACCTTTACTGACAGTGGCAAAGGATCAGTCTATTTAAGAAATAAACGAGGAGTGGTCGTTGTTTATCATACAATAAAACCATGTGGGTGCAGCCCAAAGTTGTTTATTCTCCCTGCAGTGTTTTATTGTATGATAAACAACGACCACAAGTCGATTATTT